GGCTAGAATTGTTTTTGGAAGGGAACTCAGGTTACCTTGCGATCTGATGTTTGGAGTACCCGAAGAAGAACGAAGAGAAATCCGAGATTATGCCGACGAAGTAAGGGCACGACTTCTGGGTATCCATGATTTTGCTCGGGAGCATATTCAACTAGCCAGTGACCGAATGAAGACCAGATACGACTTAAAAGCCAATTCGGTCGGATTTCAAGAAGGTGATTTAGTGTGGTTGTATAACCCAGCAAGGAAGAAAGGAGTATCGCCGAAATTGTCTTCAGCATGGGAAGGACCCTATAGAATAATCAAGAGGATCAATGATTTGGTTTATCGAGTCCAGCGCAACACCAGGAGTAAGATGAAAGTTGTACATCTGGACAGATTGGCGAAATATCATGGACGTAAAGTTGATCGGGACGATCAACCTTAAGAGGAGGGCAGTGTCACGATATCGTCCGCCAGACTGTCAAGAATCGACGGTGAAAATACTCGAATCTAGCGAATTATTCTACTATAATCGAGAAATAACATTATCGTGTGTGTTCTAGATTTTACAGGAATAGATTTAGGGATATATATAAGGACGGGTTTTAGCTTGCAAGTTTAAGTTTCAGTTCGACTGTGATACGATTTAAATAGTGATTGTAAAGAGTTTTATTGTAGAGTTTGCTAATAAAGTAATTAGTGTCAGAGTGTTTTGTTAAGTGGAATAAATTATTGCTGTGTTAATTGGACTTTGATTTTTGGAATAAACGGAACGAACGACGAACCCAAGATTTTTGTCAGCAGGCAACCCAAAGCCGCGACACTATTCTGACAAAAAAAGAGTTCTAGAAAAATGGATCAAAGGCGATTTTCAGCCTGGAATGGTTATTCATCGGTAAATACCGTGGTTATTCTTTTGGTTGACAACTTCGACAGCCAAGTGTGACGTCATAGCCCCCCACCACTCAAGAATCATAACCCAAGGAACTGACCGCTCGAATGATTTGGTTATGCGGTGTAGGATTATGTTTATTATCCTTATTTGCTTTTTCGTTTCAACACTGGTTTCTTGTTTAGGTACAAAAAATGGAGCGGATTAGCGGAATCTCTCGTTAATCTCGTTTATCGAATAGACTTTCTTTGGGGATGATCTAAAGCTCGATCTAAACATGGTGAGTTTCAGTGAGTGTATACTTCTTCCATTGTACCCGGTCAAAACAAAACTGCAAAATCACAAAACACCAATACCAAACCCGAAAATAATAACAATAACATCAGAAAGCTGTAACCAAAAGATTAACCCAAGCGAATGTAAATGATATAGACCGAATTGTCTTTGCGCAGGTGAGCGCGACGTACAGCGTCAGAGAACTGGTGTACGTCGTCCTGCAAATGTCATTGGCTGGACCTTAGAGCAGGTAAAGCGCTGTCCTACGGACATATGCAGTAGGAACTACTCCTCTTTACCTTTACCTGCTCTAAGGGCTGGACAGATTCTGCTGACGTTTACGTTGTGAGTTTTGCGTCGCGCACTGTCCTAACAAACCGTACCTATTCGAAAGGAAATGAAATGAGGAATTTAAAAATAAAATACTTTCCAATGGAAAACTGTTGATGGGTAAAGAAATTTGTGAAAGTTTCAATACATTTTTCATAGATAGTATAAAGGACATTGCAGAAAGTATAACTCACACCTAAAGAAACTGTAGAAAACATAAGTGTCCAAAGTAAAATGGAGAAATTCGGTAAATTAGAAATGCGCGACCTAAGGAGAATTATAAGAACAATCAAGAATAATGAAAGTGCTCCGGTAGACGACATTACCATTAGTATACTCAAAGCAGAAATGGGAAGTTTCCAGAAAACTGGAAGCAAGTATTGTGGTGCCTATAGAAAAGAAGAATGCTATCATACGATGTGAGGAGTTTAGACCAACTAATATGGATCTGCCATATGAAAAATTATTGGAACAGATAGTTCACTACATACTTAGAAACAAACATTATTTTCACAGAATATCAAGCAGATTTTAGAAGTAAAAATTCTTATGAAAGTTCTCTACAAACTGTTCTGATTCACTGGAAAGGTGCTTTACATGAAGGGAAACTTATTGGAGTAGTGTTTCTAGACTTTAAACGTGCCTTCGAAACTATAGAGAGAAACTTACTCTATGGCTTAAAATGGAAAGATACGGTTTTGATCAGTCTATTTTACAATGGTTAGAGGACCACTTACACGAGAGACACAAATGACAAGACATGGAGGTATTTCAACTATGAAACAAACTGAATATGGTGTGCTAGAAAGGACAGTGCCTGGTCCTACTCTGTTCATATTGTATATCAATGACATTATACAGGTAATTAAAAAATGTAATTTAAAAAAAAAAAAAAAAAAATTGAATCTCAAAGTTCGCCATTTAAACTTAAATTTAAAAAAAAGTTGTTGGCCTAGCCTCCAAATTTTATTTTTATTTTTATATGTACTGTGTACACCAAATACAAAATTACTTGCCATTAGGGCCTTATTTACGTTTTCATACCAAACATCGAATATTAGCCTGCTGTGTTCCGATACACAAATTTAGCAAATTAGTGAAGATGTTAAAATGTTTATTTACAACCACATACGTAATGTTGACATTTCTGACTTTTCAAAAGTTTGAAAGTGACACTTTTTTGAATTTTACTTTCCACCCGGGTGGAAAGTGGTCCCGGGTGGAAAGTGCTCACTTTCCACCCGGGTGGAAAGTAAGTTCTCATTTTTTAAAATGTTTAAGACGAGTCCTGCATGTCAAACGTTTTTTTAGATGAGTCAGAAATTGTCAACAAATTTTTAAATTTTTTTTTAGTATTTAGTCGAAATTAGGAGGGTTGTAATTGTTGTAAATAAAATAGTATACAAACGTCGGTAGGAAGTTTCATTCCTGTCTCGAGATTATAGTTAACTTCGACGCTTCGCGTCTCAGTTAACTAACTAATCTCTCGACAGTAATGAAACACTTTCCACCTCGGTATGTAATATACTATTTTATGGCATATTACATACCACTGGAAAGGGGGTAAAATAGAGAACTTTTTAAGAGAATTTGAAGATCACGATCGACTTTAGTTTTTTTTTATTGCATTCGAAATTTCACTTTTCAATTTATTTTTAACTGTTTCAAAAATTTTATCAGTTAATAATAAAAAGACTAGACGTTAATGGCAAGTAATTTTGTATTTGGTGGAACCATACCACAGTAGGTACACATAAAAATAAAAATAAAATTTGGAATAGCCAGGCCAACAACTTTTTTTTAAATTTAAGTTAAAATGGCGAATTTTGAGATTTAAGAAAAAAATTAAAAAAACGAAATTAAAAAACCCCTGGGGGTCGAGGATGAGTTATTATGGCTGAAAAGTTAGCAAATCGTCCCTTCTTTCGGGCAGTTAAATTTGGCAAACGATGCACCAAACACCCTGTATAATAATTCACTACAACTTAATATTGAAAAAACAGAAATGATGTTTATAAAAAATAAAATTGACCATTGAGAGAGTGCCGCAAATTAAATATCTGGGGTGTACCTATTATAGATAACTGTTTGTCATCTCTTTCAGAACTTTAGGTAAATCGTCAAATTTAACAGTTTATAAAACAAATATTGCTTCTCATATCTATTTTTGCTCCACATTGCTGTTTCTAATAAATCAGTCACAACTGGACGCTCTTCAGAAAAAAACAAAATAAAGCTATGCGAATTATACTGGGCCGTAACCCGTATAGATAATAGAAGAACTGACATGTTAAATTCAACTAAGTTACCAAGTATTAGGCAGACTATTACTTGTAATACCATGATATTTATATAATAAAATGTTGAAATAATATGTTACCAAATCATTTACTTAGTAACTGTAAGTTTGTTAGGGATATACATGAACACTATACTCGTTCAAGAAATATTTTTCATCTGTCAAGAGTCAGTTCTAACATAGATAAGGACTGATAATTTAGAAAGATTTTGAAAAGCTTATATCACTTTATAACCTGAGATAAACCTTCGTCACAAAATTATTAAAAAACAACTATGGGGACTTAATTAATACATCCATCTAGAAGTTCCTTAAAATGTTACCATTTTGAGAGATTACGGACACGGAAGTTCTTCGATTACCATTGTCAATATAATCCGATTGAAATGGCTTGGGTTTTGTGAAAACTTTCACAACTATACTCTCTGTCGAAGGATACGGTTGCGAGAGTATGGCGTGAGTTTCTTTCAAAATTTACCTCAGACATCTTGTAAAAGCATTTCTAAACAGTGCGAAACAATTATATTCCGGAAGACTGGACAAAATGGGAACAATAATATTCCTCCTATCATCATTTCGCTGATGGAATCAGATTCAGAAATCTTATCTGAATTCGAAAAAGAAACAATTTCTCTAGGAGAAATTATGGAAGTTGACAAAGTGCTACTTTCCATTTGCAAATATAGGTACGTGCGGTAAAGTGCAGTTTATCGCACGCTCTAGGTAAAATGAAAAACGTATAGAACTCCCTGAAAAGCCACAAGCAACGAATTTACACGAACTCAAACGAATTACTTAGTTTCTTTTAACTTTTTATTTGAAAGTTGCTGAACTCTTGCCAGTGTTTAATTTTTTAGTTCAAAGTTATCTTTTAATTTTCAAATTCAGTTTAATTCTTAAATTTTTTAATTCGAACTTAAAATAAGTGGGTGAGAAGCTTCATTAATCAAGAATCAATTAAATTAACATTTCCAATAATTGCAATTAATTATCATCTATAATTATATGGATAATGAAAATAAGATAATAATAATTGCCAGTTTCCAAGAATTCAACGACGAAACAAACGCAGGCAATCATTTTCATTCAAGCCGAGTGAGAAACGAGAAACAAACCCACCCACAGGTAAAAATGCCCAACTAACCCGACTCAGTTGCGGTACTTTTCTACCATAGTGTATTGAAAAAGGACGCACAGCCTGTGAAGCGTTCAAATTTTTGAGTTGGCGACAAGTATACTTCGCATGAACACAGCTCGGGCTCGCAGCTGACGTGACGTCATTTACAAAAATAAATAAACGGCGAAATGGCATCCTCCGAGTTTAATTTCCAATTAATTTTCGATTATTTTAAGGAAAACGGCGGAAAAGTGAAAAACCGGGACGCGGTGCGCTATTTCAAGAGATATTTGACCGATCCGGCAACAAAAGGTGAGAGTAATTAGCGAGATTATCGCCCCTGGGGCTTGGCATAGGCAATGTTTACGTTGATTGTTTTGGTTAGATTACCTGTTGATTTTCGATTCTAATTGTGTGATTGATTTGCTAATTTAATTATTTACTAAATGAGAGAGATTTCCAAGCCGTTTAATAATGCAATCATCCTAGTAAACACCTAAATAATTAAAATGACTAATATGGCATAACCTCATAGTTTGTTTTGTATGGCTCTCCCCTGAATATCTAATCTAAAAAGATACTCTAGTCTGGGTGTTAATCAAGTGGCTTTCAATCAATACCTATTATCTTGTGTCTAGAGGAAGAGAACTACCAAGAGAACTACCCTAGGAACTACCTATAACGAGACCTATAATAAAAATGCTGATAAAAACTAATAGGAAACTAAGTACCAAAGTACCAACTCATCAGTTATTTGGATTTACTAAGTAGGGTAGATACTCAGTTCTTAAAAAGGTGCATTTAAATCAAACATAAAAAATTAAGCAAACAAAATGGAAATTACAAACTACTAGTTGGTCCACTAAATATATCAGTAATAGAAAATACCAAGGGGTAAACCGCTAAGAAAAATGTGTACACTAATTCCCAGGATAGTAATTAATTCCTCTAATTCCCCTAATTCCCTTCGAATTTCCCTGATCTTTCTAATTCCCAAACTAATTTCCCTAATTTTACTAATTCCCATAACTAATTCCCTACTAATTCACCAAATCTATCACAAAAATTTGGTCACAAAATGGTGTAGAATAAATCAAGAATATCTAGATGTTTGCCCTATTACATGTTAAAATAGAGAAGTCTGTAAAAAAGCTGGGGAAAAAAAAATTACATGGGTAGCTTCTGTTGAGGTGATTTATCCAATGTTTTCCAACGTGTTTTCCTTCTACTATCTTTTTAATCGTTCAGTACCTACTTACTATTCCGTTAGACTGATCTAAAAGCCAGCAGCACGATGACTTTTCAATGATTGAAGAATTTTTACCAAGAACGTTGAGGTTTATACAACTTGTTTCCAAAGTATCACATCCGCGATCTTCATGAGAAATTTCCAAGATTTTTTTTTAAAATTAAGTCCATGATTATAAGTATTGCCCTCATTACTAACATTATTTGTGTTTGCCACATCTTGGTCCTTTTCTTTTTCTTCAAGGTTTTCGTCAACTTCAACGTCGCCTTCCTTGATCTCTTTGTTTTCCTGTGTATATCTGATATTTTGTGTTTGGTTTAATGAAGGTACCTGCATATATCTCCCATCGCTTTCTTTAGCATTGAGACCGAATTGTCTCATATCCTCTATGACATTTTGTAGAGTTGCTTCAACTGTGGGTAGCTTTGATAATTTTTATATCCAAATTGAGAATTTCTTCTTTACATGGTAGTTTTTGTTCTGGCATTTTTTTTTCCATCAAGTTGAAGGAAACGAGTAGGTACGCATATGTATTTGTTCAAATATGTGTGATGTCTTGTACATCATTCTTCGAGTCATTCTTCTTTTTTTTTTTCACTGCTGCAGTGGTACCACTCCCAATCTGGAACTGGCAAAGAATGGAGTAGTTCTGTATCTTCTGGGATTGTTTTGTTTTTTTATTTTTTTATTCAGGAGCTAATCAAGACATCAAATCATTATTTAAATGCATATCTCTTAGAAGGCGATTATCCATCTGAGGAATAAATCCGAGGGAAAATCCCAGTATTAGATAGGCATATATTGCTTGTACTCCAGTTTGACTCTATATCTTGATTACTTCAGCAGAAGTGGCAGGAAACGTACCTTTTTGACTCAGGCCTTCCAGGAATCTATTCTGCATAGTTTGAGCTAGTAGAATTTTTGAGTAGTCGAGTTAAATCAGGCACAGATTCATCAGTCTTTTGGACAGTTTCTATTTCACCTATGTTCTCCAAAAGTTCCTGAAATAGTTCATTATTTCTACATACTTACTAGAAGAGTCTCTTAACGAAATTTGGAATTTTATATAGGAGATAAATTGGTTCTCGATTGGTTTGGAAGCAAAATTGCGCAACATAAAAATGGCATCACAACTAATAGAATCTATTACCGTATTATCGATCGGAATACCGTACCTTTATACAGTTCTATATTTTTACCGAGAAAAGGTTTATTCTTGGATGAGCAGATTTATATTTCGCTGGCCGAAAGGAAATAATTTTTTTTCCATTTCTATCATAAATGCAACAGTTCATCGTAAACAAAACGCAATAAATGCATGTCCTTTCAAGAAAAATTATAAAATAAATAATATAAAACAGATTGATGAAATCCATCTATGTTTCATTGGATACACTGAATCCCTAGCAGTTCTATGTGATGCGACGAAGTTCCCGACTAATTCCCCAAATTTCCTGACTAATTCCAATAATCCCCCAGTAATTTTTCTAATTCCCCAATAATTCCTCTAATTTCCTTCTCATTTCTTTAATTTCTTACTAATTCCTGAAGACTGTACACCAAAATTCCCATGCGATTTACCCCTCGGAAAATACCTATCTATAGAATAGGCTCGTTACATACAACATACATTTTAATTTTACCTGAAAACGTCTTTAATACCTACTTACCTTGTAAAGCAAAATTCTGCATGAGAACTTCTAATTACCTTATAAGCTTCGTAGTCCGCACTTTGAAAGACTATTGTTAATATTTTTGCATTAAAAAATGTCTATATCTGGTCCCCAAACTACCAGGTTTTTATAAATATTTTGGAAGCAGGGGTTCAAAGACAGGTTTTTAGACATAAAGTTTAGGAATTTCTGTTGAAAATATTAATTTTGCTGAATTAGGTGCTACCTTCCTGCTTCCTACATTAGAAATCCTCAGGAGAAATCTTGGCATATGCTTTTTATGTAAAATCCTAAATAATTTAATCGATTGTCCTCCTCTGATAAATATTATAAATATTCATGTACCTTCAAGATATACAAGACATAATGAAATGTTCGATGTATTAAATCATAGGACAAATTATGGCTATTTAAGTCGTATAACGAGAATTTGCAGGGATGCCAATCAACTGCCAAGAGAGGTAAACCTCTTTAATCTCTCTTTGAAGGGGTCGAAAACAGAATTCAACAGTGTGTTCAGTTATTTGGATATTAGATTTTATTGTTCGATTATTAATGTGTTTTAAAATTATTTATTGCTGTTATTGTTCAGAATTTGTGTTGTTTTTGATGATACTGGCTGGTCCAATAATAAAGAAATTGAATTTGAATAATGTAAAATGTGAGTATACCTAATATGTAATCTTCGACCATTGAACACTCTCTCTCTCTAGACTAATAACGATAATAATGTGCTATAGAATTTGTATGGTTCCAGAATGAGACCAGGCCCTAGACCAGGCCCTCTTTCTCGCACTTATGAAAATAGAATGTTTATAAACCAGTCTGTTTATGTTTTGGGTATCAGAGAGCTGCGTTCGAAAACCTGGTTGTTGGTGTGGAAATTATTTCAGGGAGTGCATCTTCAAAATGTGAGCTTAAATTTCACTCTAGAGTATTCGGTGCGCACATCAATACGTGTCAAACACCCTTCCGAACGCCGAAAACCATATGATTTTAATCCACACTTCGCCTTTCCGAACGGCAGCTGTGTGATTTTTATACGACACACCAGGTTCTCGAACGCAGTCAGCTGATTTGTAACAAGAAAGTTGAGAACACCATGAGAACACAAAACAATTACTACGTTATTGCCAGACTGTAAAATCTTTCTTTAGAAGTAGGTACGTAGTTCCATTTAAAACCAAATTGAGTCGTGATAAAATGTATTTTTCTTTCAGGATTATTTTAAGTATAGACTTAAAAAGTCGCAAGTATATTTTTAATAATATTATAAGCAGACAAATTTGAAATAGATACTTTTCGATAGATGACGATATTCATTATTATCGAGATTATTATTCGAACAGGAAAAAATTCGGCAACAGGGCCTTTTTTCGTTTTGTTTATCGGATGAATCACCCCTCTGACCCCGCTACCTCATTATGGAACAAAACAAATATGCTTGTTGATCCCTCTAGCAGTTTAAAGCTCGATGTATGTAATACATCTTAGGTGAATTATTCTGTGCATATGTGAGCACCGAGGTGAGCACAATTTGCAATTTTTTGCAAAAAAAATTTATTCAAGAATCTCCATCATATTTCTATTAGAAAGAGTATGTAAAAGGCCCTATTGCCAAATATGAAGCTCTATGAATGAATATTTTTTGAGAAATTTCGAGAGAAATTTAAAATTGAAAATCATCAACATTTCAAATTTTCAGAAATGATTTTGACACACTTGACAACAGTGCGGAATTTCCAGTTACACGAATTGACCTTTTGTTTGGACGCCATATTGCGGTGCGCGAACATAGTTGCCAAAAGAAGAAAACAAAAATTACTAGCGGGCTGTCAACATTAAAAGCAAAAGTAACTGAATGTTTGATCCTCACTATCCTTTTTGTTTGTTAACTTTCTCTCTCTGATTCTATAAACAATAAAGCCTAGAACTCGTAACCGCGAAATTCGCTCTTTTTTAAAAGTGCTTCGACAAGTTGACGTTTGATTCACGCATAAAACGTCAAATTAACGAAGCAATGTCAAAAAAGAGCGAATTTCGCGGTTATGAGTACTGGGCTTTAGAAAGAAACCGAAATTTGGTGAAGTGAATAGGTAGATATTTTATTACTTCTATTCTGCCCAATACAAGTTAAAATTGATGACTGTTTTTTTCAAAAACATTCGTAATAGGCGGCAAATTTAAATTTTAAATGTAAATTATTCAGTAACTTTGGTTTTTAATGTTGACAGTACGCTAGTGATTTTTTTTTTTACTTTTGGCAACTATGTTCGCGCACCGCAATATGGCGTCCAAACAAAAGGTCAATTGATTAGATATTGACAGTAGATGGGTTTTTTCTTTTGTGGAACAATAGGTTTCTACTAGAGTATCTAATAAATTCAAAAGCCAAATGCTTTTATTTGGGAAAAAGAATAGTCTTGAGAATAGCATATTATGTGTAACCGACTCAGCATTTGAAATAAATAAACGAGGAAGTTAGCGAATATGATAAAGAATAAATAAATAATGATAATAATAAATAAGTTTCAAATAGCAGTAAACAAAAACTGAAACTGGATAAAGCTCTATTAAAAGTATTTAACTTTCGTACAATTTATGTGACTGCGCAAAACTGTACAGAGTGTTTGTTTATAACTGGAACATTCAGTAACTTTTTTAATTATTGATAATCAAGGGCATGTTTAAATTGGAAATTTCTTGGTAAATTGCAACGCTATTTTTTTGTCGCCTTTGGTATACAGGGTGTGGCAATAAGGACAACTTTTCTAAATAAAACATCCTGTATATTTTTGCATTTTTGAATTTCTTTACAAAAACACCAAATTCTATTTAAATATCTTTTGTAGTTCCTGAGCATTGAAAAAAAAAATGTTTTTTCGACGCACCCTGTATACTTATGGCAACAAAAAATATCGTTGCAGTGCTTAGGATCGTTAAATTTACCAAGATATTTTCCAATTTCAACATGCCCTTCATTTTCAATAATAAAAAAGTTACTCCAGTTATACATATAAACAAACACCCATTACCATACTAAGAATATTTGACAACATCGCAATTTACCATGTAATCACATCACAACGAAATAGGGGTTTTCGCGCGCGCTCAATTTTTTTAAATTTAATTTGCAAATTCATATTCGTATAATATCAAAAACTAAATCGTTTTGAGAAAAAAATTCTAAAAAAATATAATCCAAAAATGTGTAAATACCCACTACCCACTACCTTATTCAGTTTTATCTCGTGTCCGACGTGAATCGATATGTTTGTTTTTATCTAGCTCATAGCTCATGTGGATTCGTCGGACGAAGCGAGACAAAGCTAGACAAGTCTTGGGTCCTGCGCAAAAAAAAATCAATAAAATAAAGGATGTCATTGATAGGTACCAGGTACCTATAATCGGTGAACTCTTGTTCCCTTGCATGATGAACCTAAATGTTTGTCTCCATATTCCCAAATCTTTCTTAAAATGTGTATTTCTAAAAAACCATCAAGCTGGCAAAAGAACGGATACATGCAAAAGATAAAAAAATGCCGAGGAAACTTTCGTCTATGCCAGGCTCTTGATGATTTTTCCTTTTTCGCTCGATTGCTCTTTAAAAAATTATTAATCGAGGAAACTTTTGTCTATTGCAGGTTTTAATTTCTCTTTAAAAAATTAATGAAGTAGCGTTGGAAGTTTTTTAAACCTTTTAGTCCCAGAGACGGCTGCAGAAAATATGTCGTCATAAGGTGGAAGAGCTAAAAAAATATGGATTTTAGTTGAGGCCCTAATTAAGAGAATACGCGAAGGTTTCCTGTGAAAATCCTGCCGAAACAGTGTTTTTCGAAATTGTTTATTGGATAAATAATAGGCTCGTTCAGTGAAGTTTCATTAACCACGTTTTTTGATATTTTTATGAAGTATTACTCACATATAGTACACAAAAAAAAAATCAGCTCAATTGGATAAATATTAAAAAAGTTATGCGGCTTTGAATATTAAAACATTATGACTCAGAAATTAATCGCTGAGAGATGCTATGACGTCATCTCTCGAGTCAAGACGGGCTAAAGGCCGTCACACGACCAACGTGAGAGATGCAGTGACGTCACCGTGTGTTTCAAAACTTTCAAATTTGGATCGTTTTGATAATTTATTTAAATATGAACAAGGGCTCAGAAAATTATGAAATTTTGCAAAACTGCTAAACTCAATACGCTCTTTTAGAATATGTATTAAAAAAAATATGCTGTACGAGCCTATTGCAGTAACAATCTTTTAGAGGTGGACATGTAATGAAATCACCATGTTGTAGGGGAGCGCGAGATGAATTCAACCATATAAGGTTGCCTGCCCCCACCCTGCCGCACACCCCCGCAACCTGGCTAAGGGGGTCGTTTTTTTATCAATAACTATCGTCATCAGGTGGACGCATAAATTAGGTCTTAAATTAAAGGTCTCAATCTCCTCTTTCCATTGAACTAAGGTTGCCTGCTCAAAACCTGCCGAAAAGATAAAGTTGTCTCGTTCAAAGTTTCCCGGTCCAGGTATTTGCGGAGCGCGAGGTGTTTAGTGGCGGAAAAGTCGTCTACAATACTCCGAAAAGAGTTTTCATTATTGCTCCTTGTCACTTTGCGTTACTTCTAACATTTAAATTATTGATAAAAATTTATAGAACAACATAATACTCAGATAAGAGTATTTGTCCATTCCAGGTTCTCGATTTCTCTCAGTTTCGGGAAATTTGAAGTAATACAAGAGCCGTGAATAGAGAAGGAATAAATGAGCGGGAAAATTAATGAGAATTAAAAATTGAGAAAAATTTAAAGATAAATTGATTGACAAGTAGGAATACAAGTATTTTCTCTTATTCCGGCTCTTGAATTCTCTCAATTTAGGGAAATCTGAAGAACTTCAAGAGCCGGGAATAGACAAAAATCCAGAAGGAAAATAATGAGAATTACGCATTTCAACGACCTGTCAAAACTATTTCAAAATGGCGTCCGGGCGGAAGTTCATTATTCCGTATATGACAGTACAGAATTTAAAGCTTTTTAAAGTGCATTGTGTGGTTGTTTTGTGACTAAACCCTATATATTTTTTTTTAATTTTATTGACATAAGAGTTTTTTCTAATTGAAAATGCCACAAAGGTGTCTTGTAGTTGATTTTGGAAGGCGTTTCAACAAGGATGATGTCAGGTTGTTTTCAGTGCCCACCGTTTCAAACTTTCCCAATTAAAACGTGAAAATTATTTAGTACCACTGTCCCTAGTGTCCCTGAATCTAAAATAAAGCCATACTCGAAATACTTGTGAGGATCTAAGCTTTTGTAGGCCCTCATTTGCTCATTGCTGTGAAAACTGTAGATCAAAATGTAAACAAATGTCAACTACATAGACATTTTTTCAAACTTACCGTTCGCCCATATCCCGATTTTCCTGCATTAAAGTCTTTAAATAATCAGTTTGCATCTCAAAAAGTATATATTATAAATAATAGTGAATTGTAATTAGCTCGAAATTATTCCAAATAAACTCAAGATAAACAAAAAAACGTCAATTTTGACCTCCAGACGCCATATTGAAAAATCACGTGGCTTGGAGAGCCTAATTGGAAAATGAGAAAAATAGAGGAGAAATTGGTTCTCAAGTAGGAATATAAGTATGTTCTCAATTCCAGACTCTTGAATTATCTGAATTTACAGGAAATTCAAAAAAATTCATGAGAGCAGGTCAGTTTTCGTACTTCAGATTGCTATTTTAGGGGAAATCATGGATGATATTCCCTGATTTCTTCCGATTACGAGGGGCCGAATTCTCGTCTAGGAGAGTAGAGCTCTCTGATAAAACGAATGTTTTGTCCTTGTCAACATAATTGAAAAGTAAATAATTAAAATGATAAAGACGAAAAATTTGTTCTTTCGGGCCTGAGAATTGGCCCCCAGTAAGATTGCCCAAGAGTTTCCCAACATAACCTCAAATTATAAAGTTTTTCCTTTGATCTCTTGATTTCCCCTGATTGCCTTAGATTTCTTCGGATTTCCTCTTGATTTCCCCTAATTTCTACACCAGATTTCCCTTGCGGTTTACCCCTCGTGTTTTCCAATGCATCCCTGTCGATTTTTTCGAGAAAATCTCTACTTTGCCACGCATATTTTGGATTCAAAATTGCAAGAAAAACCACAAAACGATCCTCAACACTTTGCTTTTTCTATTGAAATATTGGAAAAAAATTACAAACAAGTCTAAAATTACATTTTCTAGACATTTTCCGCGATATTTAATTTTTTCTTAACCAATTTATGTATATCCAAAGTGAGCTTAAGGCGGGTGACACACTGAAGAAATGTCGCCCGCCTTATTTTCCTTCTTCCTGAACGCGAACTATTAGAAATTTTAAGTGACTAAGGCCCGTTTTATTTATCAGATAAACTTGCTGGTAACTATCTGCAAGCTAAATGTACCATTTTATAATTCTATTGGTCGGCGGATAACTAGCCGACCAACAGATGGCGTTTTTATCCGGCAGATTGCATCTGTCAGTTTATCAGAAGGTGAATAAACCGGCCCTAAGCTAAATTAATGTTGCGTATTTGCGTGAACATGCGCAATGTCCAAAATAAGTGTGAAATATAGTTTCCTATTTTCTTGTGATAATTTACTTTGTATCAATCAAAATCTATCCAAAGGAGTCTTAAAATACGCGTTAACTATGGGACTCCATATTTCGAGATATATGATTGAATCCTGTTTCATCTTATAGAGCATCAATTTCAAGTCGGAATCAATAATTAAACATTTAAACCTGTGAAGTATTGTAAGTTATAAATGATTTTGAAGATCTGTGACGGATAATCCAGATTTTCAGACTGAAAATTCAAGCTTATTAACACGGATTCCGCGGGTCCACTCAAACTCTCTTTGTTAACAACATTAACAACAAATTTCATTGAACTAATTGACTACAAAATCTACCGATCACATATCGTTTTAATTTAACTTTATTCAACAATTATCAGGTAACATACAATTTTCTTCTAATCACCATCCATTTCTGAGCAAAGGTTTCAATTTCCTGACGAACATTCCCAACTTCTTCACGTATTTTCTCACTCTCATCGCACGTTTGAATTTATTATCTTGGTGCATGCTGCAAGTCTGTAGACTAAAAATCCTAGACACACTGTATAGCCTCGACCTTAGCTCAATTTCTTAATTTTTTCAAAATAATAGTAAAAAATTCTTTTTCTAACTCAAATTCCAGACGAAAACAGAAGAAAATTCAAAGAATACGTCAACACTTTAGCCCACACAAGACTAGAAGGCGACGAAAAAGTTCTCATCCTCAAATCCAAATACCTCAACAGTCAAGAGCTTTCTTTACACTCATCGACTAGTTCCCTAAACTCCAATTTAGCCCCGAACGATCCCAGAAATAATGTCGGGCTACCTTTGTCTCCTCTTGGTAATAACAACAATGGCAATTTTCAACTGTACAGTAGCACTAGCTCACTTTGCACGCCACCGAGACAGCCTCCTCCTTACCGAAATCCCCCTCCTGTATCCTCACCGTCACCATCTCTGGATAGTGTTAGCTTGAGCTCTAATTCAACTCAAGATGACCGACCTTTGGCTCCTCCAAGACAGCACAGAAGTAACTCAAGGTAAGATAATTTGATGTTGAAAATTACTTTTTATTATATTGGTATTTCTTAGAGGAAATCTATTGGATGCTGAAAACTTGAGCACTCCAACTAGAGAAGAAAATCTTGAAAAAGGTGGCTTGAGTGTGAAGGAACGAACGCAGCAGTTTAATCGGATGGCTTCTGTGGAAGACGACCTAAGTCCACGAGTTTCAAAAAGTGCTGAAAAAGATAGAGGCAAAAATTGGGTAAGAATTTCAGATAAGTGTTGAATCGTGAAATGTTTTTAACAGTCTGTTAATGCAGTTGGCAGTTCGTCAAACGTCATTCAAGTTGTTCTGAATGAGCCGAGAACATTAATAACAAAATATACACAATACCAGTACCCCGCAGTGGTTCTATAGTCAGTTGCCTCGTTTCAAGTTTGCAAGTCATTTGACAGCTAATAATCGTCGAGATCCGTACCAAGTTGCTTATAACATTCGTTGTATGAATTTTAAATCGGCCTCGAGGTGTAAGGAAAAAAAATATAGCTAGACGGGGTTTTTAATTTGATCAAAAAAACGATGGTGTGACCAAAGGGTGTATGTATATCGACTGCGCCACTATTTGTCGCGTGTTAAGCGGCAGGTTATGCTCTCCGCATTTGAATATTTTTGCAATTAAAATAACTCCGGGCGCAGTATAGTGTTTTCGGTCTGAGCATTTTGTTTTTCCTTTTTCATGCTACTACATAAAATTAGTATTGGGCTAATTTATGGTCGTCTAGAAACATTTTATAATGGATTTAATTTTTTAAATTTGCTGTGGAGATTTAATTATATTTAAAATAATTTTAGTAATTTTTAGGTTAAGTATACATATTATAATAATTTACGTAAGTACATACTTTCAAATCTTGTGATACAGTATAGCAAGACGTCAAGTCCCTGCTTGAGAGTGGAAGATGTGTACAAACTACAAAAAGTGCAAAATTCCTGTATTCGTTTCTCGCAACAAATACCTTTTAGACATCAAATCTCCCCTCACTTAACGGAGATTGAGTTGCTAAACATGAGAGAGGACAGAGAAGATTGTTGCATTTGTGGTATTTCATTCATAAGTTAATGCCAATGGTTACTTAAATGCCATCATACCTATATGAAAAACTCATAGTTGCGGTCAACAACTTACATACATGTGAAGCAAGTTTTAGTGGACCCGCGGAATCTGTGATAATATTTTATATTACGCACACTCCATACAAAATGAAAAAACGACCCATCCCGATCAGTCACCAGACCCATCAATCGATCGATTTTCAAATGCCCAGGCATCCTGTTCACCAAAACCTATAAAAAATCAATTATTCGGTACCCCCCGAGGTACCAAAGTGACGTGCGCCCTAGGGGGGCCCGTCTATGGGCTGCCAATATGGTTTTTTATGGGACTTTGACTTGTCATGGCCAGGCGCCAGTACTGTTTTTGAATGTTCGATTTTTTTTTGTGTGGGCGCGGCCCCCTGGAAAAGGGTTTTGGAGAAAAGAGTGAATTTATCGGTTATACGTGTGGCAAATTAGTGTTTTGTCGGTATATCTTTTCTCATGATTAAGACCTTTTTACATGCTGCAAAACTACCTGTGAGACAGACGCGAGAGACCTTTCTAATCGAGGGGGAATCCACCTAGGTACCTAATTTTGTACACCAAAAATTCTAAAATTCTGAAAAATGCTAATTTTCATGTTATTATTGTCCCAAAAAATTCTAAAAATTCTAAAAAATTGAGCATGGGCAATAGATAAAAATTCTAAATTATTTCTAGTTCAATTCTAAAAAATACTAAATAATTCTAGAAATTGCTAGAAAATGCTAGAAAATACTAAAAAATACAAAAAAAATACTGATAATTCGGAAAAATTCTAAGAAATTCTAAAAATTCAGTTTGTAGGTACAGGGTGCTGCAATTTAGAGTGTTTCAACAGGAAAAACATACTTGCAGACCAAATAGAGGAAAATTGACTTAGACGTCATGGGATCGATTTTTGAGAAACGTCAATTGTCAAAAACCGTATCACGATATCTTCAATGGTACCATTGATACAGGGCGATTTTCGATTTTCCCCTATTATGAAAAATAATTATAAGTTTTTTATTTGTCAATTTTTTTTATTTCTGTAAAAACATTATGGAGACACTTTTTTGAGCACAATCCAGTGGCGGATTCAGTTTTTTTCTATATAGCTCCGATTTTGAGATATCGACCAAATTCCGATATTTTCAAATGAAACACCCTATATATTAATAGCTCATTGGATAGCTCTGTTTTTCCTGATTTCAATGATATAAAGTTCGATAGGTTTATCTCTAACAGTTTTCGAGAAAAAAAATATATCTGTTTTTGTCGGAAGGACCAATGTGTTAGAAAAGGATTTTATATGTGCAAGGAGAATGAGGAAGGTCTCTGTCTAACACATTGTTTCTTATGACATAAACAGATATAATTTTTTTTCTCGAAAACTGTTAGAGATACCCTATCGAACTTTATATCATTGAAGTCAGCAAAAACAGAGCTATCTAATAAGCTATTAATATATAGGGTGCTTCATTTGAAAAGATCGGGATTTGGTCGATATCTCGGAATCGGAGCGATATAGAAAAAAACCGAGTCCGCCACTGGATTGTGCTCAAAAAAGTGTCTCCATAATGTTTTTACAGAAATAAAAAAAATTGATAAATAAAAAACTTATAGCCATTTTTCATAATAGGGGAAAATCGAAAATCACCCTGTATTAATGGTACCATTGAAGATATCGCGATACGGTTTTTGACAATCGACGTTTCTCGAAAATCGATCCCATGACATCTAGGTCAATTTTCCTCTATCAGGTCGGAAAGTGTGTTTTTCCTGTTAAAACACTCCAAATTGCAGCACCCTGTACAGGGTGGCCCATTTTCGATATTTTAATAGGCTATATCGAAAACCAGCAGAGATATCAAAAATCTGGGAGCACATTCTCGAGCTCTTTTTTTAAGAAAATAACAATGGCAAAGACAAATTACAACTTGATGCGTTTAGGAAATACAGGGCACTTTTCAATTTTTTTCCAATTTCAAAAAACTCTCTAATTTCCTTATTATTTAAGATATCCAAAAACGGAAAATACTTTCTAGGGGCAGTTTTTCAAGGAGAATCCAGTGGCATGACCAATTTTTTTTCCAGATGCCACCGATTTTGGAATGTTGACCAAAGTTGTATTTTTTTTAAATAGGACACCCCGTATATTATTTTTTTATTGAATAGCTCTTTGTGAGCTGATTTCAATGACATAGGGTTTTATACCTTTATCTCCAATAGTTTTGGAGAAAAAAATTAATTTCGTTTTTTCCATAAGAAACAATGAGTTAGAAAGAGATAGTTGAACTATGAATCGGCTACAAATTTCTTAATTCTTAATTTAATTTTTCAGTTCAGTTCAATTCGAGCCTAATCATTGGGATCTCGGAAACCTACGGGGAAGATACGGGGCCGGTTGAATTATGGCAAAGTTGCGCAATTTTATGACCAATGGAATGCCGTTTTAAAATTAGAGAGATTCCGAATACTTTCCGGAAGTATTATATATTCGATATTCGAAAAAAACCGAAATTTTGTAAAATCGTTTTTATTTTTTCCCGGGCTTATTTCAAAGGCAATTTTAAAATAAAGGTCACTTCATTGTTGTCACTTTTTCTCCTTTAGAAGATGGTGCTACTAAATTTAAAATCCGACGTTTCGTCTTCAGGCGGCCATCTTCAACTTACTTTTTTTCAATACGGACCTGGATTTTTTATTTGCGATTTTGTCATTGGTCCATTCCTACAGTGACTCTATAACCCACAGTGGCGACAATTGCTGTCTTATTTTTGATTGGTTCAAAAATCCCATATATTTATATTGAAAACGCCGCCATCTTGTTCCCAACCCCTTGTTACTTTTAAATATGAATATATGGGATTTAGGTGAACATCCATCAAAATCATGGAAAACAACGTATTTGATGGACCTAATAATGGTCATCAAATACGTCGATTCCAATTTTTTATGATAGATGTCCATTTAAATCCTATATATTAATATTTAAAAGTAACAAGAGGTTGGGAACAAGATGGCGGCGGGACCTCTATTGTCGCCACTGTTTGTAAAGGTTTATTTAGCCACTGTAGTCCATTCCGAGCGCACCCACAAAAACATTTTATCATGGTTCCTGAATTTTTGTAACCATGAATGGGATTTTTTTTGTTATTATTATTTATGGCGTTTCCAATTGTCATTATCATTCTTTAACATTGTCAATTTAATTTCACACGTTCACAGTCCATTTCTGTGATCCATTTTTATCAGACTATTTCACTAGAGTGCATAGAATAAGGTTTATAGTGGGTATAGAACGGACAGTCCCGTTATACGGGTCGGACAACCATTTGTGGCGCCATCTGTTGTCTATGAAATGAGCTCATCGCATTGTAGCAGCTTGTAGAGCAGTTTGCTTCTTATTTTTTTTAGATTTGCTTTTTATTAATTTTATAATAAAGACACAATTTGATACAAATTTAACAAATAATGGTTTATTACAAAGAAAGAAGAAAATTATGTTGGCTTCTCTGAACTTGTCAACTAAGTCCACACTTAACAACACAGAATTAAATAACAATAATAGTCTTTACACTAAACATAACACTGTGAAAGTTCACAAATACACACAGATAACGCTCTATCACTACGAAACACTTTTTCAACGAACAGAAATATTTAAGCAACAATAAGAAGCACAACGTTTTCCAGCTCATCGTTTTGTCATTATTTGTCATTTCATGAATTTATGTCGGTTCATGTCATAATTTAATTAGTAATCACGTCACCCTTCTTATGAAGCAGGAAGCAGAGATACCTTGGAGATACAATCAACAACGCCTACGCAAATCAATTGATAGCGCCTCTACCGGGCATGAAACAAGTTTATCATCGAACCAAGTGGTACATTTGAAGATCGCGGGGTATGCTAGAGTGTTTTACTCTGGCAAAATGTCATAGGAACAGCAGGTTTCCTACTGACAAAACTCCTACCTGTTTCTACCAGGACAAAACCAACATGATGGTTTTTCAGCAACGAAATTGCCAAGCAACAAACTTTCATACCAGTTGAAAATTTTGCCAACAAATTTTTTTCTCTTGTGGTATTATACAGTGACCGCCAAAAAGTTTGCAACAAATGGGAAAATATTTTATTA